TTTGTCCCCACTTAGCCACCTGCTCAATCCATTAGGTGTGGGGTTTTTTAATACAAAAGGCATTGGTGTTAGTTAGAGTGAGGTTCTCTGCCAACTCCCTAGCTCACATTATTGAAAAGGCATGTGGTATCTTCAATATGACCCTCTTAAATTTCAAGTAGACGGGCCAGATGCCCACTCCAACAACATCGATACTGTCCCCACTTAGCCACCTGCTCAATCCATTAGGTGTGGGGTTTTTTAATACAAAAGGCATTGGTGTTAGTTAGAGTGAGGTAATTCAGGTAGACAAGCCATGAGCCCACTCCAACAATACTGATACTATCCCCACTTGGCCACCTGCTCAATCCGTCAGGTGTGGGGTTTTAATACAAAATGTCTCGGTGTTAGTTAGAGTAAGATAATTCTATTTAAAAGGCTTATTCTCAAACCTTATGGTCAATGTGGGACAGAGGAATTCTAACAAACCCCATCCCCGGATCCTCAAAAATATCTCGGTCTACCTACTATTTGGTCAGCAAAAAGAAAAAAAAAACGACTTTAGGGTTTGTCAAGGAAAGAATTATTCAAAAAATTAAAAGTTGGAAGCATTCCGCTCTTTCTTTATCGGGTCCTGAAGTCTTGATTAAAGCTGTGGCCATGGCTATCCTTACTTATCCCATGAACTGCTTCATTTTTCCTATTACTTTCTGCCAGGACATTGACCCTCTGATAGCTCGTTTCTCATTTCTGTGTCCTCACTAGAGTAGTTAAATGATTCCGGGGTCCTATGGATGGTGACTGGAGCTGCTCTCCTAGTCTTCTTTATCCATCCTTAGGCCCTCGGCCTCCCCTATGTATTTCCTGCTGTGTACCTCCTGCTTTGTTCTATCTAATGCAAAACATTTTCGTTCAGACCAAAAAAAAAAAAAAAAAAAAAAAAAAAAAAAAAAAAGGATATGCAATGGCATTAAATGCTGCCATGCATCTGAAGAAGATGACTAAGCAAAAGCTGGGCTGCTGTGTTTTGGCGACATCAGAAGCAGCGTCCGAAAGGCTAATAAAGTTGATGTGATGACAGTTTTGGTGGCATTGCCTAATCCATTTGTGTATATTATTTTTGAGTCCATTTTTGCTCACTTCCGGATAACTGTTACCCCCTTTTTAAATTTACACCGCATTTTTTAAAATCTAACAATAGTTAGTGTATTCATTAAATTATTTCTTAAAGATTATTCACTGTATTTAAAACATAAACAGACTTCAATTCTAAATACATATCAACCTAGATCTATCTATATGTTACATAATATTCCATCTGAGAGCTGCCTTAATTATACTGTCATACCAAAAAATTTCTGCTGTCATCTTATTTATGAATTATGTTGCATGTTGTTTCCAATTCTTTCCAACCTACTTCCAAAAATTTCTAAATATTTGTTTAAATCTAATTTTGTCCTTGTACTACTATTTACTTGTAATTTGCCAATAAAACCTACACAAAGTAATAAGTCGTCTTTATTTTCTATCATGTATAATTATCCAGTTCTTGCTTAGTTGGTACTTTACTAAATCATTCTAAATTTCTATTTTAGTTTATCCTGACCTTTCTTTAAATAATCTAAATTTTCAATGATCCTTTGATCTGGAAAGAGATATTATTGGATATTTCAAAATACATGAATGTATAATATATATCCTTATATACATATTTGACAGAGATATTATGACCGAAAATTACGTAAATTGAATGGGTATCAAAACATATTATTTGAGCGTGAAAACATTGTATGTGTAAGTTGCTGGAAGGGTATAGCTCTTCGTGCTGGAAGAGAAATAAATCTTGGTGCCGGAATTGTATAATTCTTCATGCTGAAAATGTATCTCTTCACGTAAAAATCACATGAAGAAAGACTTGAGTCTTTCAATAGTTACCCAAGAAAGATGTCGTTTGATAAACTTTCTATCTAATGAACATACATGGTTTTTAGATGCACACTTCCACCCAATTAAATGGATTTCAATCTTCTGAATGAGTGCATTCTCTTTTGTAAATACCCAGCGTCCAAACCACTTATGATATATAATCAAAATTCAACTCAATTTTGATTTCTCTTTCCCTAATCTAACAAAATCATATAGTTTCCTTTAGAAGATTCTAAGGAACTTCAGTTCTTGTTAAACTAAAACTTCGAACTTTATTGTATCCTGAAAATTATTTGGTTTAGACCCATTTACAAACTCATATTAAAATGCGGGCAAATATTAGTTTAAAGAAAACATATTAATTTGCCTTAAAGTCATTTTTAGTCAAATTATTAACCTGGTTCTAACAACTACATATTAATGTATTTTAGTGCAGAATCAATGGTATAGATTGAATCTATACACATTTTTGTGCAGCCAAAATGTCCACAAAACATTAATCTTCCTTTATTTTTGCCTTCCTGTTCTCATAAAAAAAAACCTGAGTAGCTTTGACCAAAATTTGGACAAATTTAACTTGCAGAAACCGCCTTGCGTTTAAAATGGAAAAATTTCCATTTCAAACAAAACACTGTTTAGGCATCTTTTGCTGCCAACATGAAAATATTATTGCATGCCTCGTGCAAATTGAAACGTCAACGTCTCAGCTTTTATCCACAGATTATACAAATTACACAAAAGAAGTTAATTAAAAATTTCAAACGAAGAAAAGGTGGGTAAAATGCCATTTTGTAGATTTTCTCATTTCTTTCATTTTCCTTTCTTGTCCGACTTCTTGTGTGCGACCCTATCGTGTGCAATAAAATGCTTCACTTAGTAGGCCTTGGCAAAAATCAACAAAACGTGGTATAACTTGATGAAATTATCCAATGAAAACTTTTTTGGCCGAAGTTATGACCCCATTGGTATAAAATGCCTCACATAACGTTCCAATCTAATAATGCATTATAGTACAAGAAAAATTAAATACACATTGCAATATCAAAACACTGTAAAAAGGTAAATTTGTTCTATGTAAATTATTCTCTTGTTTAGAGAGCTTAAACACTAGGGCTGAAAAGGTAAAAACAACCCGAAAAAAAACTGAAAACAATCCAAACTGATTATACAAAACCATTCGGTAACCGAAATCGAAAAATCCCAAGAGTTTAGTACGAATAATGGGATCAGGCCTATTAGTTTGATAAGACTGAAGTGAATACTTAACCGAATTTAATAACAAATAATTTAAATTTTAAATATATAATATATTATTGTAAGCCTATTTAATTGAAGAATTACAGAGAGTGAGAAAGAGGTTTGGCGGCAATTGGGTGAATTCTAAGATGTGTTTTTTCATTCCATTATATCTTTATTTATAGTAACAAGATAAATTTTATAATACAATCAGAAAACTATCTAAAAGATACTACAAAATCCCAATAGGATCTACACAATCACATTTCTAATCTAATTAGGACTTCAACATATTGGGGTGAGAAATTTTACCTCCAACGACTGCAGCACACCAGTTCTTCCACCTCCAATGACCATTCCGAGTGTAGAACGTAAGAAATTTCACCTTAAATCAAAACCAATTCGTGTTTTTTTTTTTTTTTTCGGATTTTGGAATTGATATTTGGGGATTCTAAAATGGAATTAGGATTTTCTATTTGGGGGTTTTTAAAATCGAATTAGATTTTTGATTGGGATTTTAAAATCGAGGGTTTTCAATTCAGAGATTTTAAAATCGAATTAGAGTTTTTTTTTTCTTTTTAAATCGAATTAGGGTTTAATTGGGTATGTTATTTCTTATTTGCAACTATTGGCTATTGATGATCGATGTTTGAATCCTTCTGCAATTTGAAGCATGATCAAGGAATTTCAGTCTCCGTATCCGACTAAAACCTAAATAGGTTCGAGATATTTGAAAACCGAAAATTTTGGTTCAGAATTAGTTTTTTTCTTCTTCAATTGTCGATAGACACTTTTCGATATGGTTACCAAACGTAAACCAATCCTATACAAACACCACTTGCAACCTTTTTACCGTTTTCCACCTAGAACCGAGAACAGCCACTGTTTCTTGTCTTGTCATTTAGCACCTAGCACAGTGATGACTCAGAGAGAGCGCACCAAACTATCCGACCATTAATGAAGAAGCATATGGTTAGGGGTTTAGGGTTTTCGGGACATGGGCTCCTAGTAAATACCAATACAATAGAAATGGGAAAATTTTGATTTTGATTTTCCAATTTCCTCAAAATCTTTTTTCTTCACATTTTTGTTTTACTTGTACAACACTTGTATTGTTGACTTTATTTACAAGCTTACCAACTAAATTTTCATTCCTCAAAATAAAATGATTCAAAATTTCTGTTTCTGCATCATATTCTATCAGTAAAATAAGAAAATTATGATTCATGCATTAAATCAATTTTTGTGCAGCCATTTAACTAATTGGGCTAAGACAGTGTATTCGCACTTGTCAATATTTATGTATTCAAACTTTTCTTAGCGTAATTACAGTTAGACAACATCATATTTAGGATTAGACTAGAACCTCGCTTAAATACAAAAGTAAAATTATCTTTTCACCATACAAACTTTGATTTTCAAAGATATGCTTGTTGAATAGGAAAGACCAACTTATATTAGAATAAGAGTAATGATACGGAAACTAAATTTATAAACAAAATTTACAAATTAAATGATATGTCATCAATAAAAATAAATATGTTTATTAGCGTTTAAGTTATAATCTAATTATTAACTATCACGATATTTGATTTACAAAATTTTATCTATTAGAAATATGGGAACTTTAACAAAAAGTTCTTTCACTTTAACGAAAAATCACATTTTCACACTAAAAAATCATTTTTAATACTATTCATTTTATCTTTTATTTTATTCTTATCGGTAAAACATAAAATTTCAAACTTTTTCCATTATTTTTTCTTAGAAATAAACCACCGCAATACATTTTGCCAATCCTCTCTCCCATTTCCTTTGTTCTCTCATTTGGTAAAAGCGAACTTGTGTATCAGTATTTGCCAGGCGCCGTTTCTCTCTCTCTCTCTCTCTAAAGTCCAAGTTTTCTCTCTCTAATGTACCTTACTCCTCCGCCAATATCTCCTCCTTAAGCCCTGACCACAATTGTCACACACAGTCCCACTCTGTCTCTCTCTTTCTCTCTCTCTCTCTCTCTCTCTCAACAAAAACGAAAAAATGGTGGGTTTTTCTCACTGCCTCTAATTCTCCAACTTTAATTCATCTATCTGCGTGTGTTGGGAAACTAATTAAATTCTTTCCATTTCTTTTAATTTATGTGGTTCATAGTTTGGTCCTGCAAATCTTCTTCCCCACTGGCTGGAGGTCCTGCTGACTGAGAAATTCTTCAACGCTTGCATAATTCACGAGGAGGCAAAGAAGAACGAGAAGAACGTCTACTGTCTGGACTGTTGCATCAGCCTCTGCCCCCACTGCCTGAACCCTCACACCTCTCACCGACTTTTGCAGGCAATAATTCTTTAAGTTTTGAATTTTCCCTCACAGTTTCTCCGCTTAACTAAAAATTACACTCAAAGCTTTGTTGTTTCATGCTTAATTTCTTCTGAGAATTTTCAGATAAGGAGGTATGTGTACAACGATGTCATAAGGTTGGATGACGCAGCTAAGTTATTTGACTGTTCTTCCATTCAGGTGAGTAAAAATTTCCCAACTTTTCAGCTTAATTTAACTTTCTGGGCTTCTTTATTTCTTCTTGCAGATCATGATCTACTAGAAGTTGGGGTTTTTCTTGTGAATCCCAAAAGCCAAAAGCCAAAAGCCAAAAGCTTTTAAGTTTATTTTTAGCTTGCTTAAAAATTGGACTATGTTTGAATTCAAAACAACAAACAACCATGTTTGAGTTCAATTCTTTGATTCTAAAGCTCCCTTTTTTCTGATATTCTTTGTGTTGGTGAGCATATTCTCACAAAGGGCCACAGTTTCTCTCTCTCTCTCTCTCTCTCTCTCTCTTAACTTTCTCTCTCTACAGTCATACATAACCAACAGTGCAAAAGTGGTATTTTTGAACCAGAGGCTACCAACAAAGAATTGCAGAGGCTCCAGCAACGTCTGCAGCACCTGTGACAGAAACCTGCAAGACCCCTTTCTCTTCTGCTCCCTCCATTGCAAGGTTAACTTTATCATCCCCCATAAACCCAAAAAACCCTAACAATTGTTCGATTATTTTCACTTGGGCCTCTCTGATTTCTCATTCTTTCTCAATTTTCTCGAAAACCCTTTTCGATTTTCCAGTTTATCTCACTGTGTTATCTCTCATTTTTTGGTTTTTGCAGATCGATCACGTTATAAGAACAGAAGGTTGCCTTTCCAAGTATCTCCGCGAGTGCAAGTTCATGGCTTTACCTGAATCCGGTTCAGACGACGGTCTGATGATACATGAGGTTCTCGAACCGGCCGGTTCAACCCGAACCTCTTCAGGCTCATATGGGTTGGGCGAGGTGGGCTGTTTGGCCTTAGCTTGCACTGCCACGACTGAAATTGTGAGGAAAAAGAGAAGTAACATGTCGGCATATCGGGCTGCTTGTCGGCCGGTTTTTTCACCCGTGTTGGAAATCTCGGCCGGGTTGATGAACCGGAGGAAGGGGACTCCACACCGGGCGCCGCTGTATTGAATTTGTGCATGAAAATTGGAAAGTTGATAGCATGAGTAAGTAAAATCATATGGAGAGCCATTTTTGGGGCATGGATTTGTAAACCTTTGGTAAATTAAGTTTATACTCTTCTGTATTGGACAGAGTCTTCCACACGAGGGTCACAAATTAATAAATAGGTGACACTTAGTTATGGTTAATTATGTGTAATATGTTGTAATAACCTTTAGCCATGGGTAATTTTTAGGTGTCATTTTTCTTGTTGATTGGTGTGGTGATAATACCGTGGTGGTTGATTCTGTTATAATTGTCTCGCTTAGTCGTAATAGTCATCCTTTTTATGATCTTATCTTAGAGTATAAAAATTTGATCATAAAGAGTTGAAGTTGTAATTTGTAGCATGTTCATAGAAGATATAATTTTAGCAACAAACGAGGTTAGCCGAATTGAATTTAAATAATAAGATGGAATTTCAAAAGCTTGTTGAATCTCTTCATTATTTGGTTAACATTTTTTTATGACAGCTCTGGAGTTACAGAGCAAGACTAGTTCTTTAGTGCTTCGTTTTTCTTCCATGTTATCGAGAGAGAAAAAAAATATATCTCCCAATTTTGTAGAGGGGCTGGGATTTGCTCTCTGTTGTACTGGGTAGGTTGATTTCAAACCGTTGGATGTGTCTTATCTTTTTCTTTTTCTTGTTTACAGAGTAATGATGAATAGTGACGGTGTGCTGCAGTGTGTAATGGTGGAACAGTTACTATTGGTGGTAAAAAGTTTATCACTTTATATTCAGTTTTTACTTTTTTTTCGGTTCTGTTTCCTCCAATTTTGGGGGACTACATTTAAATTTCGCATACCTTTTGTGCTTTTTTTCAGTTATTGAAATAATTATTTTTTTCAGCAAATCAATATTTTTACACATTAAGACTTACTTCAACTCTTGGAGTAAAATTTAAAATTTAAGTTTTAAACTTATTTCAACTTGTTCCAACTCTTGGGCAAATATGAGTTTTAACCCAAAACTCATTTCTATGACAAATTTAATCCAAGATTCCTCCTGGGTTAGTGGAGTTGACCCACTATATATGTGTACTTTTTTTAGTTTTGTATTTATAAATTCATTGAATTCAACGGCGAAGATCTAATATGATCAAATTCAACTGTAAAAAAAAAAAAATATATATATATAATAGTCTAAATTTAAATCCAATAGCTAAAGTAATTAAAAAAAATTATTTTATGTGTTTCATATTCTTTCATAGTGTTCACGAGTTTTATGGTATCGGTTTAGAGATTTTTCAATCTTTATTGGAATCTAAATATTTTTAGGTTAAAATGTGTATAAATTAAATTAGAATAGTCTATATAATTTTTTTTTAATTTAAGAAAAAAAAATCCTAAATTCATTCCTTAATACTTCCGAACTAAAATTTTAATCGATAAGGGTTGGAGGAGAAAAACTATTTCTGGATTAAAACCTAAATTTTCTGGGTTAAAAATTGTAGGTTTTAACTCAAGGTTTGGAGATGGCTTAAGGAGACGGTGAGTTTGGTTGAGCTAAACAATGGGCAACTTAATTTTGTATCCATTTCACCATCTATGGGATTCGAACCTAAGACCTCTTACTTACAAGTGAATAAGAATACCACTAGACCGTAATGCTAAGAGCTAGTTTGGGATTGTTGTACCTTTTTAATAAATTGCTTTTATTGTGCTTTAAGAATAATCAGCTGCAAAATAAAGTAGCTGTGCATTTGATAAACTGTATTTTTAAAAATGTTGTAAGTATGAAAAACAATGTAAAAGCAATGTCTAGAAGGATAAGTAATGTCATTGTTTAAAAGGAAAACTAACGAAAATGGCTTAAAAAATTTGAGTTTTAACGATAAGGACAAAATAAAGGGTAAAGTGAATAATACCAGAGCTTTTCGTTAAAGTGAACAATAACGAGAGCTTTTCGTTAAAATTCCCTTGTTTAAAATTAATGAGCTTATTACCAGAATTAACAATATTTCAATCTCAACTCCGTTTTTTATTAAAGCATCTTTTAAAAGCAACCTACAATCTGCTATTAAAAGTTATTGACACACCCCGACCGAGATCAGGGCATGCTGGCCGTCACATTGAAGTGACGTAACCATGTGTACAGTGCGGAAACTAATAAATAATAATAATAATAAACGTACGAATACAAACCTAGCTATACACAAAGTAAATAACATACATGTGCAAGCGTAAGTGTGAAAACAAAGTTCATAGCATAGAAGACCTAGTGCAGTCCGGGAGAAACAACACTAAATAAACACACCCAAAGGTGGTCCTACACTGGTGATAATCTGTCAGATAAGCCGGGAAAATCCTCTGAGGAGCTACCAAAAGCGCTAACCAAACTAGAACCTGGAGGGGCGCAAAACAGAAAGCGTGAGTGGGCAAAAACAAAGCTTTCCAAAAATCATTTCATAAACAAAGTTCTAACCCTTCGCCGTAAAACCTGTATACTTCTCAGAAAATAGAATATACATATATATATATATATATATATAAGTCATGCTCAGAAATATGCCATGTCAAATGCCTCTAAATAAAATGCAAGTACTCAGGTAATGTCAAATTAGTGTCATGTAATATGTCGGCCGGAGTCACCTAATGTGACCTATACGGCTAAATCTAGAGCTCAAATCTCCAACTCACTAACTACACCTGCACACGAGTCGGAACCACTTAAAGTGGTTTGTACGACAGGACTGAGTGTAAATTAAGTACGCTCAAGTGCTACGATTACGTGAAGACTGGGCGAATAATCGCGGGTCACCTACGAGTCGGAACCACCTAAAGTGGTCTGTACGACAATACTGTGCACCTAACTTGGATCTAAGATGAGCGTGTGGTGCTGGAGGTGAACATCACGTGAAGGATTGTGCCCAACTCTGGGTGGGAGCACTAACACCGGGGGTGCAGGTTATGAGCTCTCTATGCATCTCAAATCGCTACTGAACATAAACATAAACCATAACTTACCTGGCACTTACCTGTGCGTCTGCAGCACTAAACATATATATATGTACAACTAATAATACATAATTAAACGGCAAACATAATGCATGGCATATAAACGTATAAACATTTCATTTCACTTTCTGGGAAAAACATAAGTATATAGGTATATACGGAAAACCAAAAGCCCACTCACTGGTATGTAGAAGGGTCGTAACCCCCTTGCCTCGAGTGACCGCGCTCGTCCTCGGGATAGGTCACACCTATATGCGAAACAACTATAAAAACGTAAATTTTAAAGCACATAACCAACATTACGAAATAACTTCTCATACAATGCTCAAATGGGGTGTATGAATACATCAACGTGATCTACTCAACCTCACGAACATTCCCATATTTTTAAAATAATTTTTTGACACCGCCCCCACGCGCAGGCATGTGCCTGGCACACTGATGGCGTCAATTAACTCCGTCAGGAATATTCCGTTAAATCTAACTGATTTCGTTAACGCCGTTAGGAATATTCCTTCCAAACTGACGGAATATTCCGTCATCTTTTCCGGCCAACCTCCGGCGCTGTCTGATGTGAGTTTTATACGCACACAAATTAAACCCTCTTTTTATCAATTGTAGTAAGTACGTAAGTAGGGATCATTCTGGACCGGGGATTAGGAGGGATTGTTAACCTCTTGGATTTGACTTCAAAAACGTAAAAACGAGTTTAAAACACTAATTAATGCGAAGAATGCAAAACTAAAAGTAAGAAAGACTAAGACTTAAACAAAATATGGGGGGGGGGAAGGTTTGGACGAGATTAAACTAAAATGGATAGAGTGCAAAGAAAACAAATTGTAAATACGGATTTGACGGAAATGAATGGATGGGAAGCTAGCTAAGGGGTTCATCGCCACACATGTTATACTTGCATACAAAACGATTTCTAATTACTTTTCAATAAACCATGAATTCTCAACGCCCCGGGTTAATTAGGTCCGCTTAAATTAACCGTCAAGTTTTCCTTAAGTTAATGAATTGGATGATTGCATACGACAATTCAAAGCATTCCTCACAAGTTCCCTACATGAATTGCATAATAGAGATACAAGCAAGAATCATTAAGCATCATGAAAACTATAAGTGTTGACGAGGCATTCGTTACTATGATTGCATGAAACTTATGCCAAGAATATGTTTAACACGATTGTTTATAAGCAACCTCCACTACTTGTGAATATAAGTTCATAACTATTACGTGAAACTCACTTATATTCTAGCATCAAATTCATGCATGAAAATTAAGCGTTCATTCTTAATAAACATACATAAATAGGTTATCAATCAAACAGTTAAACAAATTGAATTCACAACTTATGAAACGTAATTAAAAGTATTCAAATCATATTACAAACATAAACATAGTTTCGAATCACCCCCTAGCTAAGGGGGGTTTAGTTCCTCATACTTACAAAACAAAGAGAATTGAAATTAAACATTGAAATCAAAGAAACGCCTAAACATTCCAACAACTCAATCTTGAATTGTATGAACGTTTAGGCCCTCTTATCTTCCTCTTTATTGTGGCACAAGGACTAAGGGATGTTGTTGGTGTGTTGAATGGATTGGGGAATTATGGAAATGGATGAAATGGAGGAGAAATGGAAGGGAACCCACGACAACAACAAGGTTGCTGTTTTTGTGTTTGTGTTGTGGTGTTGTGTATGGAATTAGATGATGTTTAGGTAATGGGAATGCAAGGGTATTTATAGGAAGATTGGAGATGTATATGGCTATTTGTTTAAGGTGTTTGTGTGGTTGAATGATTAAAGTGCATGTGGGTGGATATTAAAGGATGGAATGCATGTGAATTAAGTTGGAAAACTGGAATGATGAAGTGGGAGTGCACGGCAAGGTTGAAGAAATGATTATGGATGCATGTGTTGAATGATTTCTTGGTGAGAGATGTGGAGTGGCTGAAATGATGAAGAATAAAGGATGCATGAGTGAATGATTGAATGTTGAAGGAATAATCTGAAAATGCATGTGAATGCATGCTAGAAATGTGAGTGAATGCCACGGCAAGGGTGAATGGTTGTTTGTGAAAGCTTGTGAAAGCATGATTAAAGATGCATGTGAATGAATTATACAATGGAAAAGTATGTGATTGACAATTAGGGTGAAGTGGCTGCAATGATGAAGTGTGATGGTTGATGAAAGAATAATGTCAAGGTATGGGATTGTTTAAAGGGGGAAATGCATGTGCAAGGATGAAGAAATGATTATGGATGCATGTTTGAAGGATTAA